TGTGAGAAAACCTTCTGGTCTTTCATGAAAATACCCTTCTTCTATGAGGTGACCATGGGATCTTCAACGAGAAGACCTTCGAGACTTCTATGACAATACCTTCATGTCTTCTTCTATGAAAACACTTCCTGGTGTTCTATGAGGTGACCATCGGATCATCAATGAGAAGACCTTCGGGACTTCTATGACAAGATCTTCAGGTGCTCTATGAGAAGATCATCTGCTCTTCTATGAGAAGACGTTCTGCATTTCTATGAGAAGAGCTTTTGCTTTTCTATGAGCAGAGCTTCTGCTTTTCTATGAGAAGACTTTCTGGTCTTCTGTGAGAAAACCTTACGGTCTTTTATGAAAATACCCTCTGGTCTTCTATGTGAAGACTTTTGGGCCTTCTATGAGAAGACCTTCGGGTCTTCTATGAGAAGACCTTCGGGTTTTCTATGAGAAGGCCTTCGGGTCTTCTATGAGAAGACCTTCGGGTCTTCTATGAGAAGATCATCTGTTCTTCTATGAGAAGACCTTCGGGTCTACTGTTCTTCTATGAGAAGACCTTCGGGACTTATATAACAAGATCTTCGGGTCTTCTATGAGAAGATCATCTGTTCTTCTATGAGAAGACGTTCTGCATTTCTATGAGAAGAGTTTCTGTTTTTTTATTAGAAGACCTTGTGGTCTTCTATGAGAAGACCTTCTGGTCTTCTTCTATGAAAACTCCCTCTGATCTTCTGTGAGAAAACCTAACGGTCTTTTATGAAAATACCCTCTGGACATCTATGTGAAGACTTTCGGGCCTTCTATGAGAAGACGTTCTGCTTTTCTATGAGAAGAGATTCTGCTTTTTTTATGAGAAGACCTTCTGGTCTTCTATGAAAAGACCTTCTGTTCTTCTATGAAAATACCTTCCGTTCCTCTATGAGAATACTTTCTTGTCTTCTATAAGAAGACGTTCGGGTCTGAGAAGATCTTCTGGTCTTCCATGAGAAGATCTTCTGGTCTTCCATGAGAAGACCTTCGGGTCTTCTATTAGAAGACCTCCGGGTCTTCTATGAGAAGATACTCTGACCTTCAATGAGAGGACCTTATGGTGATCATTGAGAAAACCTTTTGGGTCTTCTATGAGCATTTCAATATTATCCATCCCATTGTGCACCATATGGCTTCAAATAAAGCTCTTGAGGTAAACAAATAAAAATTCATCTCAAATGAGGAGGATGAAGATGGCGATGATGATGTTAATGACGGAGAATGGTTCATTTTTGGCAAACACGTAACAATTGACTGGTTTGTTTGGTTGGATGGTTTCTTGCTTGAGTCTAACAGGAAGGTGGGCAGACATGTAGGGTCTTTGGCAATGGGTTACCTGGCTGGCTGGCTGACTGATTTCCTTCTTAACAACACTTTCACTAGATTTCGTGGGGAATTGAAATTCATCCGAAATTACTGCCGCAAAAAAATAAGATTAAACAGATTCCTCTAAAAAAAATATTCCGCTTTAAAAGTTTAGGTGTTATTATAAAAAGTGCTTCGATTTTTTTGCTCCGGCCGCAATTAATATTTATTTTATTTAGTTGGCTGGCAATAATATCTCATAACGACACTTTACACGATGCTATGCAACTACATGAGCGCTTTGGTTTTTAATTTATGTTTATATAATCGACAAAATTTCCATTGAGCTTTTTTTTTTTTTTTTTTTTTTTTTTTTGGTAATCGTCGTAATGCTTTGCCGGTTATTACAAATCGTGTGAAACTTGCCAATACATGTGGAGAGTGGGAGAGGAATTATAAAAAAAAATATTTTACAATTTTTTGCTTCTCTGCTTTGGTAAAACAGCAGCAGCAACTATAGCATTTACACCCCCACAATCGATGTAATGGTGTCTTGAAATTTGGCACAACTTTTGCATGTCTTTAAGAAGTCTGAAAAAAGTTGATTAATTGAAGAAATATCAGCAGCGACAATCATTTTGTATTGCACATAAATAAATATCAATGTCAAGATTTCATCGCTAATAAATATGTGGATTTTTTTTTACTTTTGGTGAGCCTTCATTCGTTCATGGTTCTCGATTGCGTGTCTGGTAAAATAAAATAATTTGCATGCAAATTATTTCAAAGAGAAGTTATGGCATTGCTACCGCCGCTGCTGGGTGTGAGATAATCCATGAAATATTATCAATTTTATGTATCGGTTTTATGAGTGGAAATTAAAATATTTAAAATGACTAAATGTCATTTGATAATTATTTCATTAATGCTAGACATTCAGGGGTCATTTTCAAGCAAAAAGCGTTTTGAAAATCTTTTGTAAAAGAGAAGAATTTTTGAAGATCATCTGAAGAATGTCTGCTAAAGGTTGATTTGTAAGAGTTATAGGAAACACACAATATTCACAAAAACCCAAAAAAATTTTATTTGAATTGATAGTACGATCCATATAATTGAATGTTTAGAGCTTATTTAATTCAAATGGTCCATCGGCTTAGTCTAATTTCGGCATACTCTTACTAACATTTTGACCGTCATTTTTATACCCTACACCACATAATAGTAAAGGTACTAACTATGTCTTTGTGTATTTGTTTTTAACATAAAAAAGGAAGCGAGATAGACCCATAGTCACTTTTGAGGATCTTCATAGAATCACTTTCTGTGTCGATTTTTGCATATCAGTCCGTCCGTCCGGGTATATTATATAATTATTTTGATATTGTTTTGTGAACAAAATGCATGCCGAATTTATTATCCGATTAAGATGAAATGAAATATCTGTTTGGCCCAAGGACGAACCCTATTGAAATTGGTGAGAATCGTTTCAAATTTTGATATAGCTCCCATATATATCTTCAACCTTCAAGGGGTTTAAGTCCCTCACATACGTATATGCACTACACAAATTATTATCGAGATCGCATCAGATTTGGATATACCTCCCATATATAACTTTATTCGAATATCAGTATTAGATAAGTCCATATGACCTGAATTTTAACACATTCGATGGAATTTTGTGTAGAAGCAAGTACATACAATTTGATGAAAATCGGTTCATATATAGCTATAGCTCCCATATACATGTTTCGTACGATTTCCTAGCATGTGTAATACGCACCCCACAACCAGGATATTTAATGACTACTCATGATACGCATTCAAACGGCCAATGAAACCGTCACAATCTGGTATTTTGGTATTTAAAAAAAAAATACTCCAGACACAATAGTCCAACGGATTGGTATCCGGAGATTTTTGTGGCCATTGTGAGCTGGAAATGAAGCGACCTGTTGGAATGTCCAAGGTCTGCAGCCAAAATGTTTGTGTGCCCAATATACGGCATTTATTCTGATGCCACGGTCGACTAATACGAGCGGTAAGCGACCATCGGCTGTTATGGCGGCCCACACCATCACCATGGCCGGCGCTTGAGTTCTTGTGGCCAACCAACATTTTCAGCTGACCTCTTTGGCAAATAAACACGATATATTTGTTTGTTTGCTGGACAACGAATATTTTCTCATCGAAACCAAATTCGACAGTTCACCGCTTTCGGCCAACCGAAGCAACTCCTTAGCTCTTTTGAGTCTATTTTATTTCTGTTGCGATGTAAGTTTTTGCACTTTTTGGAATTTCAATGGCTTTACTCCGAGCTCATTTTTCCATATTTGCCGAATGGAATATTGCGATATGTTCAGCTCACGAGCCATTTTTCGGTCACTGCGACGCGGGTTTTGATTAAGTCACTTCTTTACTTTTCGAAACATTTCTGCTGGTGTTGCTGCTTTCTTCCATCCACTTCCTTGACGTTGGGCTACGCCAGTATCACGGTAACAAGCGATGGTACGAGGCACAAAAGATATATTCACATTTAAATGCTGGAGTGCTCTAACGATAGCCACTTGTGGTTTTCCAGCCAAATATAAAAAAATCACACTATCACGGTTGAATTCCATAACGAATAACTTTTTTTCTGGAAAATTCTCACCAAAATGCTGTTGTAAGCCTGTAAACAATATAATAAGCTGTTATTGGAATAATTTCAACAGCTATCGGACGAGTGGCTTAGAAATGAAATTAGTTGCAGTTTTTTTCATCTCACCCTGTATATTGTATTCAGAATCCAAATTCCAAATTACATCAAGAGTTGTTGAAACATTTTGCCAAAATCTTGAAAATCCATTAAATCGGGCGTAGGGTTCTATGGGAACTATATCAAAAATATTTTTAATTTGGCAAATTTTTTACCCTATTCCAAACATGAATATTAAATTCAGCAAAATCGATTGAAAAATATAGTAGTACCCTCCACAGAAATAAAATCGGCGGTATGGTTCTAAGGGAGCTATAGGAAATTGTGGACCCATATTAACATTATTTTGCAAGTAAATCAGATACCCATTTTCATTTCAATTAAAAATGTACCTTAAATTTTCAAATTTTATTAAACCGGAGGGTGCCGTTATAAGTGGACTATGCCGACACGTGGATCACATTATTTGTGACTCATTATGAAGATACTCTAAAAAATCAGTTGGATTTGTTGTAGAAAAACATTTTATGTGCAGTGTTGCCAATAAGATAATAGCTAAAAAATCGCACTTTATGTGCAGGTACATAAAAATAGCAAAAGTCGAAAATAAATTTTAATTTGGACTATAGAAAATCTGTTCTGGGACTTCTACAGAAAGAAGATATCGTGAAGGCCTATTATAAAGAGAATACTGTAAACATTTTATCTAGTGAAAACCCCTTTTGAGATTCTTCTATAGATAACACAAATTGAAGGTCTTCTTCAAAGGTTTAATTTCTCATAGAGCGCTTTCGTGGACTACGAAAAAAAATGCTGTCAATTTTTTTTAGTTGGCATATGCAAGTCTATTGATTATTTTCCTATATTTCAGGCATAGACTGGATCACATTTATTTTCCTTTACAACACAAACATATATTTTAATTTTAATTAAACAACATTTTCAATGTAATAATGGCACCACAACATGAAAAAATTTCAATTAACCTAAATTGACCTCTTTTGTTAATTTGTCACTTTATTTATGACAATGTTTATTTGCACAAGCAAATGCACTCTTATCATTGCAAGTCCGAAAGGAAAAGGTTTACACAATTTTCCTATATAAACGGGCACAAACATTTGGGAAATACAGAATTCACATTCCCTTCGAGGTGTAATCAAAAAACTCAACTCAAGCAATGCGTTGCTTTGTCATTTTCCTCGCCTTCATTGTGGCCATTGTCGCCTCAGTGTCAGCTGTTGATGATCCCAGCTTCAGGCCTTGTGGTAGAATTCGCGATTTCGTGTGTGGAAAATATCCCGATGGGACAATGGAAACCTTTGAGAATCAATGTGAGATGGGAATAAAAGCCTGTCAAAAGGGTGTTGGTAAGTGATATATTTTTAATTGCCTTTGGAATTTGAGGAGAATTTTGTTATTTTAATATTTTTTTTTTAGAAATTGACAAACTTTACCGCGGTGAATGTGGACATCCATCGGAACACCAAAATTAAATGTTGAACTATGTGAAAAATTTTGGAAAATGGAATAAGGAATATTCGTTGAAGAGACACTAAATTAAGAAAGGATGATTTAAAGGAGATTTCGGAGTAACGAATAATATCATATATTGCAACCGATCAATGTGGATTGATTCATATACATTTATATGCTCAATACTTTCAATTTAAAATATATTAAAAAAATAATAAAAAAAAAATATTTAAAACTGATATCATAGATGTTCAATCAATTAAACCAATTCATAAATATTCAATTAGATATAAACAAATTATTTGAAAGCGTCTTTCGAATTCTTATCTCCAAATAAAGTTGTTAGTGTACTCGTGAATCTAATAATTGGTTGATGAAACACCTGTTCCAGCGTAAAGCGTGCTCTAGCGTATCAAACAGCAATTCTCATTGAAGTGGATTCCTGAGAACCAGCACTTCATTTTGCAGCTATTGATATCGATGTGATTAAAATCGGGAAATTTGGTTAATTTTTGCTGAAGGTCGATAAGAAAATGATTTCTGCTTATGTTCTATGAAACGGACAAACAGTTGTTATTGGGTTTGGGATATTCACAGAGAATTGGGTAGGAATGTCGAAAGAATCTCTTGAATTTTGAAAGTATTCTTGAAAAAAGTACCTTTCGAAATCTTTTTTTAAACGAACATCATTTGATGTCCATTTATGGAGAGATCTCAAAGTATTCTCTAGGAAGAAGTCCTTTTATAGACCCTCAGAAACAAACTTGAGGGTCGTCTTGGAAAGAAGACGAAGGCCTTTTCAAAGTGTTGTATAAGGAGAAAGCCGGTACAAGATCACATACAGACAGAAGACCGCCTAAAGGTTCTTCTATGGACCCTCAAACAAATTTGAGGGTCGTATTGGAAAGTCTTATGAAGACGAAGGCCTTCTCAAGGTCTTCTATAAGGAGAAGACCGGTATAAAGTCATATACATTCAGAAAACCTCCTGCAGGTCTTCTATGAATAATAGACCCTCTTCTGGTCTTCTGCCATTTGAAGACCACCTGTATGTGTTCTATAGACAGAAGACCAGAAGAAATTATTCTATAGGCAAAATATCTTCTAAAGGTTCTCAGGTCTACTAAAGACATAAGTCCTTTATCCATATACAGAAGGTATTCTAAAGGTCTTCTACACAGAGAAGACATTCTACAGTTCGTCTATATAGATGAATTCTATACAGCGAAGACCTTGTACAGGTATTCTATACAGATAAGACCTTCTACGGGTCTTCTATACAGATAAGACCTTCTACGGGTTTTCTATACAGGAAAGACCTTCTACAGGTCTTCTATAAAGAGAAGACCTCCTATAGATCTTCTATGCAGAAAAGATCTTCTACAAGTCATCTATAGGGAGAAGCCATTATACGGAGAGGAGATCTTCTATGGTCATAAGACTTTCTGCAGGTCTGTAAGAGATATAATAACTTCTGCGGGTCTTCTAAAGATAGAATAACTTCTGCGGCTCTTCCAAAGATATAATAACTTCGGCGGATCTTCTAGAGATAGAAGACCTTGTGCTAGTCTTTTAGAAACAAAAGACCTTCTTCTATAGACAGAAGACCTTCTAAAGGTCTTCTCTAGACAGAAGACCTTCTCAAGGTGTTCTATAGACAGAAGACCGTCTAAAGGTGTTCTATAGACAGAAGAACTTCTTAAGGTGTTCTATAGACAGAAGACCTAAAGGTCTTCTCTACACAGAAGACCTTCTAAAGATCTTCTCTAGACAGAAGACCTTCTAAAGGTCTTCTCTAGTCAGAAGACCTTCTAAAGCTCTTCTCTGGACAGAAGACCTTCTAAAAGTCTTCTCTAGACAGAAGACCTTCTAAAGGTCTTTTCTAGACAGAAGACCTTATAAAGGTATTCTTTAGACAGAAGACCTTCTAAAGGTCTTCTATAGACAAAAGACCTTCTAAAGGTCGTCTATAGACAGAAGACCTTCTAAAAGTCTTCTAAGGACAGAAGACCTTCTAAAGGTCATTTATAGACAGAAGACCCTCTAATGGTCTTCTATAGACAGAAGACCTTCCAAAGGTCTTCTAGACACATAAGACCTTCTAAAGGTCTTATAGAGACAGAAGCCATTGTTGAGGTCTTCTAGAGACAGAAGACCTTCTAAAGGTCTTCTCTAGACAGGCTCTAAGGGTCTTCTATAGACAGAAGACCTTCCAAAGGTCTTCTATAGACAGAAGACATTTTAATGGTCTTCTACGGACTGAAGACTTTCTTCTGGAAATCTTCTATTGACAGAAGAACTTCTGCAGATCTTCTATTGACAGAAGAACTTCTGCAAATCTTCTGTAGACAGAAGACCTTCTTAAAGTATTTTATTTTATTTTAAAGATCTTCTATTGTCATTTTAAGGCATTGAAAAAAAGAGCTTGTACTTGTCTTACACAAAAAAGTCCCCTATAGAAAGAAGGATTTCTATGGTACTTTTTTATTTAAAAACTTTTCTTATACTAAAGAAAAACTTGGTTCAGTTTGTAATATCATTTTTTTTTACTGTCGACCTCATCTTTAAAACTTATTTGCACAATTTCCACGGTGGAGTTCCCTGATTTCTGCAAAATTCAAAATTAGAATTTTTTTTCAATATCTCATTAGTGTTATTTCAAAAACTTACTTTCGCCCTTTTGACATTCGCTAACTTGCAGAACGCAAGGATTTGCAAAAGTTTCCATTGTACCATCCTTATGTTGACCACACCGAGGATCTAAATTTCTGCCACAAGGCTTCAAACAATTACGCTGGCCATTGGCCAATGCCAAGGTCATGAGGATAGCAAATATCACAATTAAAAATCTCATGTTTATCTGACGAGAATACGAAAGCAACTAAAATTTCAAGATAAGAAATGAATCTATTTTTATAGCTTTTCAAGTGCAATGCTTCTAATTCTGCAAAATCAAATTTATTGGGAATTACCGTTTTTTTTTTTTGACTTTCTACTGGAAACAGGTACTCAAACAACTTTAAGCAATTATTAGATTCACGAGTGTGCGAACAACTTTAATTTCAAGATAAGAGTCGGTGAAACACTTTATAATTTGTTTATTTTGGATAGAATAATGATAATTTGTTAAAATTGATTTATTGTTTAAATTAATTTTTTTATTATTAATTTTTTTGGAATGTTTATTTAATCGAAATTGAAAGTATTGAGTATATATGGATTATTCTACTCCATGTATTTACAAATTAAAAAAATCCCCTCTCGTTCTAGGAATTTTTCCTTAAATTGGTATTGATCTTAGTACACTTTATATGTTTTATTTAATTTTTTTTTTTTTTTTTAATTGTCCACAACTAAAATTGGTGTTCATCTGGATGTCCACATTCGCCTCGGTAAAATTTGTGAATTACTATCAAAGATAAAAGTCATAAAATTCTCCTCAAATCCCAAAGGCAAATCATGTGAAATCACTTGCCAACACCCTTCTGACATGCCACAATTCCCATCTCACCTTTATTCTGAAAGGTTTCCATTGTCCCATTGGGATATTTTCCACACACGTAGTCGCGAATTTTGCCGCAAGGAATAAAACAGTGATCATTAACGGTTGATGTTGAGGAAACAGTGGCTGACGAAACAATGGCCACAGTGAAGGCGGATGAGTCATGTTAGTGATTGCAACGCGAAAAGTTTGTAAAGCCTGAATTTTCGAAATTAAGTGCCCGTCTATATAGGAAAATTATGTAAAAGCATTCCCCTTTGGATTTGGGAAGATAAGAGTGCAATAGCTTGTGCAAACAAAGTTGTCATAAATTAAATGACAGTTTAATAAAAACGTTAAGAAGGGTTTAATGAACTTTCAGTCATGGTGTGATAACAGCGTTATGTTGAAGAGATTGTTTATAGGGAATGTGTGTTTGGAATCAGTGGGAGAAAAATAGAGTCAAGCTAGCGAAGATTAATTTCTTCCCTTAGTCCATAAAAGCGCTCTGCTACAAATTATGCTCAGAATCAAAAAATTATAATTCTCGTTGTTTTGAACAACTGTTTTCAATAGCAAATTCGAATGAATAAAATATTTTTAGTAAGGCTTTCATCCGAAGCCGGATTTACAATCTTCACTGATGGAGTTAGGGTTGGGGGCTCAGAATACACACCTTATTATTTTCGAGATTTTCGCATAATATTTAATATTGACAAGAGAAAGATGTGATTTTGCATTTTGCTAATAACCTCCGGTAAGAGTTTAGTTGCTTTCCATTCATCTTATATCTATATAAAAGATGATTGGCAACATTGGTTTAAACAGTTCACGCATGTTTAGTTTTTTGTTCGACTGTCAGATATATTCAACGTGGTCTATAATTTAAGCATGAATCGTTTTACAGTGCTTGCTACTCAGTTTCATTTTTGGCTTAATGGGTAGGTAAATAAGAATATTTTGGAGTAAAGATCAGACCGAATCATTGCAAAAGCTACACATGCGTAGGATAAATGTACAAAGTGTACTAAAAAGCACCAAATTTGATACCATTTGATATTAGGTGAAGTGCTTAAGTCTTGATAATTGGATAATAATTAGGTTTGGGAAGTATGGTTGATATTAGGAGATGGTTTTGGGAATACGTCTATAAGTATACGAAAAGTACAAAAGGGTACTAAATTTGGAATAGTGCTTTAACTCCGAAATTTGACATTAGTAATTGTGCTGAGTTGAGATTTGGAAGTACTTACTAACTTACTGAAACGAGTAAATTAATTTGGGGAAGAAATAAGTTGGAAATCGCTAAATTTTGGTATTGCAATCACTTTTTGTGTGCCGGGGCTGATATATGGTAATGGATATGGAAATACATACTAAATGGTGTCAAATATGGGATCGTTGATGATGTGAATATAAGACGAATCCAAATTATGTAACACCAAACATGTATGGCCCGATTCTCACGAAATTCTCATGGTCAGAATAGAAGCCAATTGTTTCTGGAGATAATCGCAAAATAAATATTTAGGGGTGGAAATGGACTAATAACATAAAATATCTTGATTTTGTAGAGTCTCTACAGGTCACAATTATGCATTTAAAGTTGAGGGCTGAACAGGAGCCTACGAATTTGTAGAGTCATCGGACAATATTTAGCGGGTAAATGCTTTTGGTGGCCTTTGTACGTTGGAAATGAAGCGAGGAACATCATTTTCAACCATTCTTGGGTGGCGCGTGCTAAGTGCGATGGTGCTGAGTCCTGTTGGAATATCCAATGTTTGCGTGCCCAAGGCTTTAATACACCCTCCAGAATATTTTCGCGATTATATCCGGCATTTATTCTGGTGCCACGTTCGATTAATACGAGCGGAGAGCGACCATCGGCCGGCGTTTGAGTTCTGGTGGCCAACCGAAGGTGCACATTTTCAGCTGACCTTTTCAGTTTGTTTGTTTACTATCTGCTGGACAACGAATGTTTTCTCATCGGAGAAAACCAAATTCGGCAGTTCACCAATTTCGGCCAAGGGAAACCTCTCTTTGGCTCTTTTGAGTCTATTTTCTTTCAGTTGCGGTGTAACTTCTTCCACTTTTTGGAATTTCAATGGCTTTACCCCGAGCTCATTTTTCAATATTTACCGAATGGAATATTGCGATATGTTCAGCTCGCGAGCCTTTCTTCGGGCACTACGAAGCGGGTTTCTATCAAGTCGTTTCTTTACTTTTCGAACCATTTCTGCTGATTTTGTTTTCTTCCGTCCACTTCTTCGACGTAGGGCTACGCTATCAGAGCGATGGTACAAGGCACAAAAGACTTATTCACATTTAAATGCTTGAATGCTCTAACAATAAAGAAATCACATTATCACACTTGAATTCAATAACGAATATTTTTTTTCTGGAAAATTCGTTAACAGTTAAATAAAGTTGGTTGCAGTTTTTTCATCTCTCCCTGTATTATTTTTTTAAGCAGCAAATATTTCTATATACAATTATGAATGCATATAAAATCAAAAGGGGTAGCAAAGCGCACGGGGTTAAGAGAGGGCAGGCAAGTTTGAAGATGGGCTGTATCGGTCCACGATATTGTATAGCCCCCTATAACTGTGCCCCCTTATTCGGCATTTTGATGATTTCAGCCAAATTTGTCAATGAAATTTTCTGAATCAGAAAATTGTCATATAACGGTACCTCCCATTATTCGGTATTTTTATGATTTAAGCGACATGGCAAAAAATTACTTATGCATATAGCCCCGCATACAACGGTTTTGATTTGAGTGGTATTTTTTGGACCGGCCGAACTTTTTTAAATTATATTTTTTTGTATTTTAAATATTTTTATTTAACTTCTTTGGCAAAATCTGATCTCCTACAGCAAATTTGGTATATTAGATACTTTGTCTTTGCAGCGGCATCCCCATTAGCCGCATTAGTATTTTCCAACCATTATATTTATAATAAAATTTGTATTCATATGTGTTAGATAAAAGGTAGTTTTTAATTTTTATTACATTTACATTTTTAAATTCGTTTATACATTCATCAATTAATTCACAAGCCATTTGGAGTTGGTTGATATGGATCTGGTTCTTCACATGTTCCATAATTTACTGGAGTAATTTCTAAATGACGAAAAGAAATTACAAAAAGAAATTAACAAGTAGATAAAATAACATTACCAATGCCTTTTTGGCAGGCTTCAACTTCCATTACACAAGAATTGGCAAAAGTTTTCTTTGTGTCATCGGAAAACTGTCCACAAACATAGGCAATATTTCGACCACATAGTCTTTGGCATTGATCATTCTCACTTGAGACCAATGCGATGAGCATAACAAGGGCGATAAGAATGCAAAAGAAGCGCATTGTTTTCCCTCACTTTTGAACAATGTTTGAAAATGTATTAATTTGGAATTTAAAGATTTTTAGGTTTTTATAGCAGAATTTAATGAAGTAAAACAACAACGAACAAAACAACTGCATCCAAAACTCAAAGATAAGGCTGGCTGGAAAGTCCCAATTTACCATAGCATAAAGAATACAAGAAACAAACCTCAACTGAAACTGATAACATTGCACTTAGAGGAGCTCTCCCAAAAGTTCAAATCTTTGACCTAGGTTTCGGTCCAGTTTATGTTCATGTGTTCAATAAATTCAAAACATAAATCATAAAACTGGAACGACGAAAACTTATGTTTATGGTTTTTATGAACCCCGAAATATATACTGCTTTTATACTCTCAGCCATATGGCTAGAGAGGGTATTATATCATTTGATACGATCAACACGTGCCTAGTCGAAATAACGGTTTTAGATCCTAAGTTCCTTTGGACCAAATCCGTTTCAGGATATTTCGAGTCTATCTAGAGATGACCGTCCGTCTGTCTGTCTGTCTGGATGGATGGTGGGTGCGCACGATAACCCTCGAAGGGAGGATTCGATTTGGTCCAAAATTGGTACAAGGTAACATCATTATAAAAGTTAGATCAGGTTCGAAGATTGGCAATATCGGTCCACTCCTTCTGGTACCTCCCCCACAAAAGGTCGAAATTGTCAATTAAGAAATATTTTATTCGATTTTCTTCCAACATTGCAAAATCCTAATATATGCATTAGCCCTAGCTAGGTCAGGCGCAAAAATGTACAATATCAGTTCACTCCATAAAGTACCTCCCCCACAAAAAGGTCAAATTTTCGAATAATTATAACTCTTATAAAATGTGATGTAAGAGTCCGACGTTGAAGACAATCGCTACATTTGAAGATACACTACTATATTTAACCAAGGTCTGGTGTGAAGATGGAGTACAGCGGACAACTCCTTCTGGTACCTCCGCCACAAAGGGTTAAAATTTTGAATAGCCATGAAGATCATCATTAACATCAGACTTGGCCCATCTCAATATTTCGATAAGTACAAGATCTGTTATAAAGATGGTAGATATCGGACCATTCCTTCTGGGTCCAAATGGTCCAAGTTTGGAATAAACAATACGATTATAAAATCCGAAGTAAACATCACGTTCTCTTCATGTTTCACACATCCCAATATTTCTACTAACACAATATCTGCTGTGAAGATGTGATATATCAGTCCACTTCTTCTGGTACCTCCCCTGCAAGGGTTCAAAATGTTGAATATCCATGAAGCTCATAAAACGCGACCATAGCTGGTACCTCAGGCACATTTAACATTTTTTTTAATTATCACATATCTCACATAAAGTTACCTCGCACGTCGCTATATTTATATCATATTTATTTAGGTCCGATACGAAATGGACGATATTGGCCCATTCCTTCATTCCTTCAATAATTTGAATAATCATAACAGAAGTCAAAATATATTTAAATAATCGAACATTGGCTGAGTGTATACATCTGTCGGCAAAGTCGACTGATACTTCTTAACTTGTTTTTATACCCTCCACCATAGTATGGAGGGTATATTGAGCTTATCTTTCCGTTTGTAACACCTCGAAATTTACATTTCCGTCCGTCTGTGGAAATCATTTTAGCTTCCCAACAAAACGAAGTAGGTTGATAAAATTTTACTCAAATGTATATTATGTCTGCAAGACTTTTGGTATTTAAAAAGGGGACATGTAGGTCCACATTTTGTAATAGCCCCCATATAAATTTACCTCACTATTTTCTTTATTTTAAATATTTTAGCGACACAATTGACTGGAATTGTTTCAAATTTAGTATTTTTAGTTCGTAATAGATACTACAGCCTATGACAGAAAATTGTCTGTGCATGTCCACGTCTTCGAATTGCCCCCATATAACGGGACCTCCCGATATTCGGTATTTTGATTATTTTAGCGATATTATTCACCGGAATTGTTTCAAATTTGGTATTTGAAGTTCGTAATGGATACTAAAGCCTACGACAGGAAATTGTCTGTGCAGGTCCACGTCTTAGTATAGCCCTCATATAACAGAACCTCCCGATATTCGGTATTTTGGGGATTTTAGCGACATTATTTACTGGAATTGTTTCAAATTTAGTATTTAAAGTGAGTAACGGATACTACAGCCTAAGACAGAAAATTATCTGTGCATGTCCACGTCTTCGTATTGCCCCCATATAACGGCACCTCCCGATATTCGGTGTTTTGGGGATTTTCGCCACATTACTCACCGGAATTGTTTCAAATTTGGTACATGAAGTTCGTAACGGATATTACAGCCTATGACTGAAAATTATCTGTGCAGGTCCACGCCTTCGTATAACTCCGTATAACGGTACCTCCCGATATTCGGTATTTTGACGATTTTAGCTACATTATTCAGCGATTTTTTTAGTTTCGCATTTGAATATTGTACTTCCCCAAAGGAAGTAATCAAGAGGTGTCAAATCGCACGACCTTGGAGGCCAATTGACAGGTCCACTTCTCAAAATCAACTTATAGCAAAATTTTGATTTCAATAAGTCGATGCTTGAGTTCGCTGTATGGCATGTAGCGCCATCCTGTTGAAACCACATCTCCTCCGGATCAATGTCATCCATATTTTTAAACAAAAATCATTGATCATGGCGCGGCAACGATCTCCATTGACCGTAACGCGAGCTCCGGCCTCATTTTTGAAGAAATAAGGTCCGATGATGCCACCAGCGCGAAAACCACACCATACGGTGCATTTTTCTTTAGGGTCTCTTGTGGATTGGCCTCACTCCATATGCGGCAATTTTGCTTATTAACAGACCTGTTAAGCCATTAATGCGCCTCATTGCTGAACACAATTTTGCGATAAAACAACGGGCCATTTACCAACTGCTCTAGAGCCAGATTTTGAAAGTAATTTTGGATAATTTCGTAACGTTGTTCAAGCGTGAGTCTATTCATGATGATATACTGAAACAAATAAAAAAATGTTTCCTCAAAATTGAATTTTTTGTGTTATTTTTTACAATTTAAAGTTCTATCTAGCTAAAAAAGACACCCTTTATAACGGCTACATTAGGTATTTTTAAGATTTTAAGATCCTGCACGGATTTTATTTTTTTTTAAATTGCCAAATTCCTTCTAAATGGTGGAGGGTATTCAAAGTTCCGAACTTACAACTTTTTACATGTCATGTGGAAGAAAATATTTCAACATTTTAATATCACAGTGTTGGCTTGATTGTTCGGGATACCATAGTATTTTGTTGTTGCAAAATGGTCAGGCTTAATCTCTTTATTGTTGTTTATATAAAAACAACGTTTGTTTATTAGTGGAGAACGATGGTAATGTTTCCTAGGGGGCAGGGAATACCAAGGCTTCGGAAAGAGCCACCAATCCTCATCAGTTCCTTTATTATTTGTCTGGGATATTCTCCCCAAAATTATTTTAAAAATAACTTCTGTGACAAAAAACTTTATTTTATACCCAAGGGACGAGATCGTAAGCTCAATAGAAGAAGAACCAAAGAATTAAATAAAACTAGAATTTTATTTGGAAAATCTTCTAAATCTTACAATCGCACTTATAAACATTTACATCTTTCCCCACTTGTTATGCTTTCGTTTTACATGAGCGAAGTAGCGAACGAAGTAGTAGTAGTAAATTCCGGCTCAAAACTCTTTGTGATTCTAGTGTTAGGCAGTGCAAAAAACACAATTTTGAAGCTCATGAAAATATGCAACGAGTTTTTTTTATGTGTAGCACACTTCAAGTCTGTTTTATACCGATACCTAAAATACGCATTTTATGCAAATTCATCTTTTATTTGATGTATAATCAAAGGAATTGATAATCTAAATAACATGTGTTATTACAAAATAAATAAGGCTTAACGTTCAACATGTTTTTTTTTTTCAGCCAACATTTTGTAATTGGAAATCGAATTAATTAAGAGAAGAACCTTCCATAATTTCTTAATATATTGTTAAACAATTTATTACCGAGCTTAAGTTTTCACTAACATATTCATTAATCAAGTCATAATCCACAAAATCACAAGCACTGTTTAAGTTTCTATTCATATACTGGCTTATCGCAAGTTCCGCGGTGTAATTGAGTAATTTCTGAAAGAGATAACAAAATGCGTTATTATTGAAGGAATAAAAACTACGAATTTTATAAAATTACCAACGCCTTTCTGGCAAGCTTCAATTTCCATTACACAAGGATTGGAGAAGGCCTTTTTGGTACCATCGGGAAATTGTCCACAAACAAAGTCAAAATTTCTGGCACATGGTTTCATGCATGGATCGGCCGAAACCAAAACAATAGCCATGACAACGGCGATAAGAATAGCGAGGAAACGCATTTTGTGTTTAGTTCACTGACAAAATTTTGAATTGTAATGATTCGAAATTAAAATAGTTTTTTGCTTTTATAGCTGTCTAGTAAAGAATTTTGAAACACAACAAAAATCTAAATTTTATGATAAGGCTGAGTGAAAAGCCTTTACTAAGATTTAGTACACAGACAAAAATAAATATTTATATTGTTGGTGTATATGACATACAATAAATGGCGTTTAAGAATACGTATTCAATTGCGTTAATATTGGAACGGATGAAAAAAGCATATATTTAACTGTAACATTATGTATTAATTAAATTAAGTTTATGTTCGTGGTTCCCAATTTTTAATATCACAACAATAAATAAAAATAAATGATAGTAATGAGATATAAAAAAAAGTTGAAAATAAAATGTTCTTTAAATTTTAAAGTATTTTTCAACAACAAGAATTTGCCCAATGTTAAATAATAAAAATGTTTAAATAATTAATAAAAATATCGCATTATATCAGCGTACTGGGTGAGATAAAAAACAGCAACAAAGCCAAACGCCATAATTTTTACATTTTTTCTTTAATTTTATAGAAAATGAAAATGTCGGAAATAACATCAAATTTTAAATAAGTTTCGATTTGTTCAAATTGGTCACCTTTGGCACGAATTATGGCCTTCAAATGGCGAATGAAACCGTCACACGCTGCCCGGATCGACTCTTTGGTATTTTTTAGGACCAGCTTTTCTTTCCAAAATACTCCAGACACAATATTCGGCACTTATTCTGATGCCACGGTCGATTAATACGAGCGGAGAGCGACCATCGGCTGTTATGGCGGCCCACACCAATATCACGGCCGGTGCTTGAGTTCTGGTGGCCAACCGAAGGTGCACATTTTCAGCTGACCTCTTTGGCAAGTAAACACGATCATTTTGTTTGTTTACAATCTGCTGGACAACGAATGTTTTCTCATCGGAGAAACCAAATTCGGCAGTTCACCACATACGGCCAAGCGAAGCAACTCTTTAGCTCTTTTGAGTCGATTTTCTTTCTGTTGCGGTGTAAGTTCTTGTATTTTTTTGAATTTCAATGGCTTTACCCCGACCTCATTTTTAAATATTTTCCGAATGGAGTATTGCGATATGTTCAGCTCACGAGCCTATTTCCGGCCACTGCGACGCGGGTTTTGAATAAGTCGCTTTTTTATTTTCTTTCGTCCACTTTCTCGACGTCGTGCTACGCTACCAGTATCACGGTAACGAGCGATGGTACGAGGCACAAACAATTTATTCACATTTAAATGCTGGAGTGTTCTAACTATAGCCACTCGTGGTGTTCCAGCCAAATATATAAAAATCACACTATCACGCTTGAATTGCATCACGAATATCTTTTTTTCTGCAAAATTCTCACCAAAATACTTTTGTACGCTTATAAACAATATAATGAGCTGTCACTGGAATAATTTTTACAGCTGTCGGAAGAGTGGCTTATAAATGACTGCAATCTGAAGTGGGTCACAGTTTTTTAATTCCACCCTGTATAGTGACACTATTTGCACTTATACTCTATCTCTTTCTCGTCCTCTCTCTCCCTCTGTTTTTTTTTTTTTTGAAAAATCAATCATATATTCTTCAAAACATATTTGTCCTTTTCTTGTGCGACTCTGAGATTAAATACTTCTCACTCTTTCTCTCTCCCGGCTAAAAGTACTTCTCTCACCTTATGAACTTTGTTCAAAAAATTTTGGACTCCAAACATTTTCCATACTTAGCATATAATGAATAATTTTTTTCTGTGTATGTACTTGAATACAATGTACTTATTAGCATTTTGAATAAAAAAGCACCATCTCAAACGAAACTGATAACACAGAAAATAAAATAAAAATACATCAATATTTCTTCCCATTCGCGTTTTGGTCGATAGAAGTAAAATTGATTTGGATTATTTGAGGAAATTTGTTGTTTATTATTATTAATATTATAGACATAGTAAGGTCATTTTATCATAGATTTATACTATCAACAACTGTGACACTCTGATAGACTTTTTATACCTTCCACCTTAAAGAGGGGGTACATTTACTTTGTCATTCCGTTTGTAACTAATATGTTCATAATCAGCATAAAATTCAAGGTCGATTTAACGATGTCCATCTGTCTATTGAAATCACGATTTATTATTTGACGTAGTGATTTTTTCAACTTTTTTTTTTTCACGCATTTGTCCAAAAATTGGTATTTGTAGTTTATAAAAGGTTCTAGCTCCGTCGGCAAAATATTGAAAATTTAGGTCCAGGTTTTCCTATAGCCCACATATAACGATACCCACCAATACCCTGTATTTTGAAAATCCCAGTCGCATTTACCCACGAAATGTTTTCAAATTTGGTATTTAAGAAGATTTGGTAGATGACAATCCTTGAAGTATGAAATTGTCTATGGAGGTTCCCGTCATTAACATTTAGCCATGTCCGTCCGTTTGTTGATGAGAAAACTAAAATGTCGACAGATCACGTTCTTGTTTGCTGTTAGGTCAAGTTCGACGTTGGGAATTTTTAAAATTCGGTTGAAGAACTTCGACTGCCTAGACAAACCAGGGTATTTTTGATGCAATTACGGTGCAGTTGTCTCAATTCATATTGGACACGAATTGACGAAAATGTGCGTGATGCGTCAGAATAATCATATGTCTGGCTGTTATCGTGGGAGTCAGGAAGGAATACATGATATAGTGGAGAGGTCTAACGCTAATAGATCAAGAAGCCTATCAAGCAGGTCCCCGTGGCATTCACACTAATGACGTCACAGATGCCATCAACAATTACAGGATGAATGCCGTCCTCGGAGTCCACCCCCATACATTGCAGTTGAAGAACGTCGACTGCCTAGACAAACCAGGGTAGTTTTGATGCAATTACGGTGCAGTCGTCTCAATTTATATTGGACACGAATTGACGAAAATGTGCGTGATGTCTGTCCGGCGTGCGATACGGGATCGCACAATACGCTGCACGCCAAACCTATCCAACTCACTCCAGAAGATCGCTGGTTACAGCCCATTAAGGTGGCCGAATTTTTAAACCTGGTGCTCGAACCAGATTAGCAGGATCCAAACATCTAAATGTATTACTGCTAAAACAAAAGCTATTAAAGAGAGCTCACATTTGCCCGTTTGAATGGGAATGAAGATGCTCGAAATTGAGTAAGAATTTACTCTACATGGAATCCACTCGAAAACGAGAATCTCTCTTATTCGAATAACATTGAAGAAAGAGCATGTTCAATTATTTTTTTTACTCTCAGTAGTGCTCCCGAGCGATTTGCACTCTTTTAGAGTCAGCATTTCCGAGGTATACAAATATGATTTGTATGTAATACAAAATAGGAAGGATAATCATCTTACTTATAATGTTCATACAACAAGTGTCCGTTCTTATGGTAATGAGATTATATAAAAGAAACAGCTTAGTTCGGCTAAGTTCCGTCGAAAAAAAAAATCTTAAATAAAAAAATTATTTTTTTATAATAGGCTGAAAATACAAAATTTGAAACAATTCCCGTCATATCGAGGGGTGCCATTATGTGAGGGCTATTATACGATATCGTGCACCTATATAGACGATTCTCTTTCAGGGAATAAAGTACTCAGAAGGAACTGAAAATGTACGCAAGGCATTTTCAGACAATTCCGTTGAAAAATGTGGCTACAATCATCAAGATACCGAATAACGGGAGATACCGTTATATGAGGGCTATACGATATCGTGGGCCGATATAGTCCATCTTTAGGCTTGTCCTGCCTGCAGACAAAAGATTGATTTGTGCACAATTTTAGCTTCCTGTCTTAATTCGTTTTGACTCTAGCGTGATCACAACAAACGGACAGACGGTCAGATGGACGGATATGACTAAATCGTCTTAGAATTTAACGCTGAGTTCTAGGTACGCTGAGTTATAGGTATTGTAGAAATTATTAGGATCGGGTGTATTCAGACATACTTTATACTGTTTTAAAATCCTATTTGTGATCGGTATCAGAAGGTTGTTCTTCTTCACTTATTAAATCGTCACTAAGATTATGTTTTCAATTTCTCTATTTTTATTAATCAATTCATAATTCATATATTCACAATCATCAATTAGGTGTATTAATCCTTAATTGGTTTATCGCAAGTTCCCCGGTGTAGCATAACAATTTCTGAAAAATATCAACAGCAAAATTGAATTCGTATCGAAAAAATCAAGAAAAAAAAATAAAATCTAATTACCAATGCCTTTCTGGCAAGCCTCAATTTCCATTCCGCAGGGATTGTTATAAGTTTTCGTCGTACCATCGGGGAATTGACCACACACAAAGTCAAAATTTCTAGCGCATGGTTTCAAGCATGGATCCTCTTCGGCAGAAACCAAAACAAGGGCCATGACAATGGCAATGAGTATAGCGAGGAAACGCATTTTATTCTAATTCACTAATTAGCAAAATTTCAAATTCTAATGACTATAAATTCAAAAAATCTCAGGTTTTTATAGGTAAAAATTGTTCATATACCTCAGTTTCGAGATAAGACAGATTTAAGAGCCTATACATGCCCATCATTTTTTTTATTTAAATGCAATAAATGCATGGTATAAAAGCAAGAAAAAATAGATAACCTTAAAAATTTAACAAAATACCAAATTTCATTTCAGACATTTCAGAGTCCGGCCAATGAAATTAAAATTGACCTAGGAGAATTGAATAATTATTTTATTGTATTGTTATCTGACGTTGAAAAGCATCTGAAGATTTCGTTCCACTCGGTTGAGTTTCTTTCATTTAATAAGATGACTCAAATATTTACCAATATTTTCATTATTATTTTTTTTTATTTTGGCAGAAGACATTACACTTTTTAGCAGAAAATGTAAAAATGTTTTTAATTAAATAAAATATTATAGAATGTTTATATAGCATTTATTTTTTACATGGACCTCTATTGACCTGGGTTATGGCTGCAAAGAATAACAAAATAATTTTGTTTTTAATTTGCCATATACTGGAAGAACCATTCAATTACTCACGTTTGCCTGTTCTACACGCCTCAAAGGTCATACGACATGAATTGACATAGGTTTTCCTACTGCCATCAACATGTTGGCCACAAACTTGTTTATACTCCACTGGACAGTCGGGAACACAAACACTAGCGTATGCCGTAGCAAATACGGCCACAAACAGGACAAATACAACTTGCAAGAAACGCATTTCGAAACGACTAATATCGACGATTTTTGTATGAAAACAAAAAGAATACTTTTTACGGATTTGTTTTTCAGCAAAGTTTCATATTTATTTCAATATTTTTATTAAATATTCTAAATTGTGTATACAATTTTTGGATTTGCTACTGATAAGAAAATCCCAAATTAAATGTCTTGTTTCGTTCCCACTGCCCCATTGACATTAACCCATGAATTAAAATTTGATAACATTGTAGTTTTTTTGAAGGTCACACATGTTGCACATATATCAAATACGTATAATATGTTTTGTTTGTTGATAATGTTAAATAATAAGAACTTATGTATGTGTTAGAATGAATATTTGACGAGACAATTATTTAAATTCAAATATAAATTTAACAAGTAAGCTAGTCTTCGCGGGATCGACCATATGATACACTACAATATGGTAGAAGTCTCCTTATGCCCAAATCCATTTTGGAAAAATTTCTCTTTTGAAATTATGTCATAAAGCACTGCCCAGATATTACCCTAAGCTTTTTTACCAGGAACATTTGCCCAATATTTACGCACTCCGTTAGTAACTAACAGCACGTTAACCTGTTAACTCTCCTTTAATGCAAAATTCCGTGTCGATTTGTTTCAATTGTGTGATCAGGAAATTTTTGCTGTTTTTGGTTCATTTTTGCGATCATCTCCACATACAAAAAGCTAAATTCGTCAACGAAATCTGCATAAAACAAGCAAGTAGTCGTGCGGGGCCGACCATGTGATACCCTACAATATGTTCGAAGTCTCCTTATATCCAAATCCATTTTGGAAGATTTCTTTTTTGAAATAATGTCAAGGAGCCCTGCCCAGATGTTACGCTTAGGTTTTTGACCCGGAGAATTTGGCCAATATTTAGGCACTTCGTCGTGTTGTTAGGTATTCAAAACAATTTCACACGAAAGTTGTGGTCTATTTTATATAATTATATATAATCCAATAGTCATCCAAAATGCTAGACTTCTTCCCTTTAAATCTGACCCTAACGCTTCCTCATGCAATTTCGTGAGGATCGGCATCCATACAATACCATCAAAACGTAATGTTGGGGCGTAAAAAATTCAGAAAATTTACAATTTAAAATTGTAAGTCAAATTGAAACCAGTAATGAAAGTCTAAAAGTCGGGCGGGGCCGACTTTATGATACCCTACAACACTTTACCCATTTAGTAGAGCTCCACTTAACAATTAAAAGTTTTTATGGGAGAATTCAATCATGCACGCTATGATTATAATTATAATTTAAAGTTCAAAGGACTAAATATGCCGAAGCATTTGAATCTTTTAAATTCGGACTTGTATTGCCCATTTGGTGCACAATTAATTTAAAATCGGATAAAGATATATATGGGAGCTATATCCAAATCGGAACTGATCTCCATATAATTTCGCAAAGATATTTCTGAGCCTGTACATTTCCCTGAATATCGTTGTTACGGAGTGCATATTACGGCTGTGGGTAACAAATATAACAAATCGGATGAACAGTATATATGGGAGCTATAGCTATATCTGAACCGATCTTCACCAAATTTGACATACTAGCTTCGAGACTAAATTCGGTCCTAAGTGCCAAATTCCATCCCATTTGGACAAATATTAGACGTTTGGTGCACAATATAAGGTAAATCGGACGAAGTTATATATGGGAGATCTAACCAAATCTAAACCGATCTCGATAAAATTTGGCACGTGTATTTCTGGGCTGTTTGATATTTGATATATTTCCCCAAACATTGTTGTAACAGAGTGCATATTACGGCTGCGGAGGACAAAAATAACAAATCGGATGAACAATATATATGAGAGCAACAGCTATATCTGAACCGATTTCGATCAAATTTGGCATACTTATTTTCAGGCCTAACCTGGTTGTATGTGCAAAATTTCATACTATTTGGGCTGATATGACACGTTTGGTGCACATTAAAAGGCAAATCGGACGAAGATATATATGGGAGCTATATCTAAATTTTGACCGATTATCTCCAATTTCAATAGGGTTCGTCCTTGGGCCAAACAAATGATTTGAGCAAAATTTCATCTAGATAGTACAATAATTGCGAACTGTACTTTGTTTAAAAAAAATACATGGACAGACAGACGGACGGACGGACATGCATAAATCGACCCAGAATGTGATTCTATGCAGATCATCAAAAGGAACTATGGGTCTATCTCGTTTCCTTTTGCCTGTTACAAATAAATGCACAAAGACATAATACCCTGACCACCTTGTGGTGTAGGGTATAAAAATCACATGCTGTAAAAAATATGACAAAAATTGAAAAAAAAAAAATGGAACAAAAGATACTCACTCATTTATTGGTATATTTTTCCGCGATTTTCTTAGATTTTATCCTTTTCCAGTAAGAGACCATTCCGAATTGATAGGAATTGTGAAAATCGGCCTAGCGGTTCTTGACTTATAAGCAGAATAAATAAGATATATTTCTTTTAAATATATATTGTTCCTATTTTTCTATATATCCGATGTCTTGGCTATCAGCACCACCTTAATGATCAGGAGTAACTTTTTAATGTATTTGTCCAGTCCTAAACTCTAACTCCATATAAATTTTGGTGTCGATTGGTTCATATTTGTGGCCTATAGAACAACTGCAAAATCAGGCATTTTTCAGTTTCTCGCCCATTTCAACCCCTAAGAGCAATAGGCTTCTATTATGACCATAACCCCACCTTCATGCAAAATTTCGTGAGGATCAGGCCATAAGTGCGACCTTATTTCGAGGTGTAACCTAATTTTTGGCCCAATCAAACTTATAAATTCCCAACACATAATGTTGTAGGGTATAATTAAAAGAGAAAATGGTAAGAGTCGAATCTGCTCATTTTCAAACAAATTCTACTCCCACTCGAAAACGAGTAACGCATACTCGCTCCGAGGGACATAGAAAACGAAGAGAGATCTATTTTATTTATTCACTCACAGAATTCGAGCAGGAGTACTCCTTTGAGTAAATCGAATATACTCTCCTTTTCTATGACACTCGAAGAAGAACAATAATGCTTCGACCGTTTATGAGTGGGAGTAAAATTTGCAAGAAATTAAGCACAATCTACTCTTGCGGGTACTCTTTTAGATTTCGCCATAACTTTCTTATATTTGTAAGTATGCAAAGGTATGCACTATACGAATTCTGATTCGTGCATTTTGACTCTCACTCCTATTCTTCAAAACAAAAGTATATAGCGAGCGCTCGTACATAAAACAATACAGTTAACTTTGTGTATAAATAGTTCTCTTAGAGTGTCTTTAACTTGCGAATCATAACAATGAAATCTTAGCTCTGAATAACTTCCATAAATTCTGAAATTAGTACCTGATATTTTCAAACATCCCACGTCTCAAGGTTTCTGCTCCTTCCAACGTCAAAATGATCATCGCCTTTTGGTACCCCTTGACAAGAGATCAATATTTTGAAAACTCATATAGGGTAAGTGCGCCTAAGTTCGGCATGTCCCAGTAGTCGGCAGTTTTGAAATTTAAACTTAAATAACTAAGAATATAATTGACCAAATAATGAAATAATTTCAAAAAAACGTCAACAGTGTTTTCTGCTCTTTTTCTGTAAAAAAAACAATGAGCTCCGATCATTAATTACGAGAGAATAACGGTTTTCGTCAGTGAGTGTCTTCCAACGCGTGCGATAGTGCATGTTTGTAAAGAAAAAAATAGTGGTGCCGTCAACTTAATAATCGATTTAAGTAAATTAAATTTAATACTTTTGGAATCAGAAATATTTTATAATAGTATATAACAGTCTAAAGATCATTTTATAACTTGAAAACATACAAATCAAGCATTTTTCTGTTATATTAATTAATGCCGACATTAGGAACAGACAAAAAAGAGATCTGGAAAAAGTCGGCAGGGGGTGCCGATTACTAGAAAAATATCATTTTTGACTAATTTCACCAAAACTTGAGAAAAGTATTAAAAAATAATCCAAAAAATACTCAAATAAAAAAATAGTTTTGAGCCGGCAGTTGCTTTTATTTGTGCTTTTTGACCAACTTTTCTAAATTAAGTAGGCTTTTAAAAACAGCTATTTGACGTTTTAGAAAAAAATGTTGGCTATCTTAAGGAGAAAGATCAATTCACAAATTTCAAATATAATAGTACGTTTATATATATAACCCACTGGATTTGGATTTAAATTGTCATATCCATTACTTTTACTTCAAATAAATCCTCTCAAAGAAGGTTAACCCTACAAAAAGTTCTAACGTAAACATGGCATAAGAACGGTACTTTTTTTCTTTTTTTAATCTCATTTTTATTTTAATTGAAAATCCATACGTTACTGTAGGTAACCATACTATTCTTGATTTTCTTCCTATAGGGTAAGTGTGCCTAAGTTCGACATGTCCCAGTAGTCGGCACTTTTTATTTTTAAGCCCAAATAAATGAAACTATTATAACTAAATGTATTGTCAGCTATCTTTGTGTACAATTTCGGTAAGAAAAGATGATTTATTCTAATAAAATTTAAATTTTTGTCTGTGAAGGTCCTCAACAATCCATATTCTTAAGAAAAGTACGATAAAGACGTCGAATCAGTTTAATTAAACAAAAATATTATATTTTAATGAATTAATTTATTATTATTATTAATTATGCTTACCAAAAAATTGGTATACCGACTGTTGGAACATGCCATACCGACAATTGGCAAGTGGTGCCGACAACTGGCAAAAAAGCATTGTTTTAATAAAACTATAAATTTATGAAATTTAATAAAAAGTTATTAAAACTTTATTATTGCAAAAACTATACAAAATTTCGAATCTAAATAAATTAACTTTGTAATAATTGAAAAGTTCCACAAAGAATGGTGAGCGATTAAAAACGCGAAAATCCTAAAAGTGCCGACTACTGATACACTTACCCTATTTGGTTTAGAATGATAATTAAATAAAACACTATTTAAAAACGAAATAAATGTCAAATTCTGGATTAAACTGTGATTTAGTAATGTTGCATGGTTTTATACTTTTTGAAATAAAAAAAATTGCAAAATAATAATAATGCTTCGACCGTTTATGAGTGGGAGTAAAATTTGCAAGAAATTAAGCACAATCTACTCTTGCGGGTACTCTTTTAGATTTCGCCATAACTTTCTT